TCCACTACCATCTTCCGCCGCCACTTGCCACCACTTGCTATTTCTCACTCTTTTTTATATTTATAAATGTTTTTAAACATTTTATCAATTAACAAACGCGTTTATAGTTTATGTTTTTCTAAAAATAAACAAAAATCAGTTTATAAAATTTTTGTAAATATAAACTGAAAACGTAAACGTTACCAAACACACACTGAATGTATACTCCCATGTGGAATATTTTTTGTAAATCTCTTGATGGTTATGAACACAAATGTTGGGGATTTGAGAATGATGTTAATATTGAGACTTAATTCCATTTACATTAAACAATGAAAGGTGATGAATTTAGATTGTATAAATTTTTGGGGCATGACATAACATTTTACCGCGTGGACCTTTCGACAAGAAAAATACATATCTGGATTTATTTCCTGAGTGCCTTTAAAAATATTATATATTTTTATTTTATATTTTGGAATTAATATTTAGTTAGAAATATTTAATTTAGTATAGACTAACATAGATTTATTTAGTTTCTTAGCCTCCGTTTGGCAAGAGCTAAACGGGGCTTTTTTGACTATTTTAACCACAAAAAACAAAATAGGCTATTTTAGCCACAAAAAACAAAACATCACATCCAACCCATAATCATTACATTCTTCTCTCACAAAAAAAGCCAAAAAAGCCAAAAAGCCAAAAAGTCCTTCCCAAACCAAACTTTTTAGCCCAGGCTAAAATAGCCAAAAAAGCCAAAAAACCAAAAAGCCAACCCACTTCCCAAACGGAGGCTTAATTTGATTTGATACAACTTACCTATTTTATTAGCTTTGTTTTTATTTACTATTTTATTAGTTTCTTGTTGTCCAAGAAATAGATTTATTATAAATAAGGTTGTAAGCCTTAGGGCTATTAGGTTTAAGTATATATTTGATTAATAAAATTTGAAATTTTCACAATATTGTTCGTTCTTAATGAGAGTATCTCTAATTTTGAATTTGTTCGTGATTCGATCCATTTGTTTGCTATTTTTTTTTTATATGCTTCCATACATCAAACATGATAAAGTAAAAAATGTTAAGATTATTTGATTCACTTGATTTTTTCATAAATTATATAAACAGAAGACTCTACAAAATGAATGGTTCAAGTCATCGAAATGAAATCTGTGTACTCTCAAGTTTGGATTTGAATTGGACAGAAACCCAACCTACATTGAAGGGTTTAGGGGGTGTTTGGGAAGAAAAAGTTTTGGCTTTTTTCGTTAAAATAGCATTAAAAGACAAAATTAACTAAAATAGATAATAAGACAAAATGTCACATCAACCCATAATTATTTTATTTTTTTTCTCACAAACATCACATCTAATTAAAAAAAATTCAACTCTCTTCCCAAATACAACTATTTTAATTTACTGAAATAGTCAAAAATTAAAATAATTTATTAAAATAACCACGATTCCAAACACTCAAATAGTGGCATTATTACATTTTGTGTTTTTTCATTCTTTGGTTTACCGGAAATGAAGACACATAAATGAATTGGGTGCCATTGCTACACGAACCACTATTCAACAACCCAATCCCAGTAACAGTACGTATAATAAATGTAGCCTTCAAAACTGGTACGATTGTCACTGCAACATGATGAAAGTTTTATTAAAAAAGATATTTATGAATAGTTTTTATTGCTGTAAAAATAATCGTTAAATCGTCTACAAAAGGCAACTTTTTTCAAACACAACTATTTTAATTTATTAAAATAATTAAAAATTAAAATAATCTATTAAAATAACCATATTTCCAAACACCTACACAGTGACATTATTACAATTTTTTTGTGTTTTTTCATTCTTTGGTTTACCGAAAATGAAGACACATAAATGAATTGGATGCAATTGCTATCACAAAATACTATTCAACAACCCAATCCCAGGAATATTATGTATAATAAATGTAGCCTTCAAAATTTGTACAATGGTCACTACAACATGATGAAAAATTTATTGCAAAAATATTTATACACCAATTTTTATCGTCCAAAAAATAGTCGTTAAAAGATTATTTTGAAAAGTTAAAAATATAACTTTTAGCGACAAAATTTTAAAAATATTACTAATAAATAGACTTTTAGGGATAAAATAATTTGATCTCAAAATAAGTTATTTTTTGTAACAAAAAATTTGGTTCCAAAAGGATAATAATTCATCACTAATGTCTAATTTTTGTTGTTAAAAATATAATGACGGCATTTTTTGCAGAAAAAATATTTGGTCCCTAAAAAATAATTTTATCCCTAAATTTTAGTTTTTAAAACCTTAATTTATTGCAGTGTGTTTTGACTCTCCCAAGTTTGATATGTTTCTAGTTTTTCTACAATTTTCTTTGGATGTGTCATATATATATATATATATACTACTTTAAGAAGGCTCGCGCGATGCATGAACTATTATTACAATATATTTAAATTTTTTGTTATGATAATTTTTTAAAACTTAAAATATTATTCTATAAAATTGAATAGAATAAATTATTAGATATATGGTAGAATTATGTAGTATGATATATATCATTTTTTGATTTGTTATACATCTAATGATGTAAATTCAAATTCTATTATCATATCATTTGGGGTGAATTTATGAGTGTTTAACATTTCTTCCGAATTTAAAATAAAAATTATGGTGTGTAGCTTTTCTTAATAGAAAAATATAAATAAATACTAACATAATTCTTCCATCTAAAAAAACTACTAAGATAATTCACTGAACTAATAAATAAACAGAAGAAAATACATATATATATATACACACAAATGACTAATTTTATTAATACATAAAGCATACTCGCATAACAAATGACCAATTTTATTAATAATAAATTATTAAGTAAATTAACAATTTTTAATGATATGAAAAATATTTTTTAGTTAACCATTTTGTTAATAAATAAATCATTAAGTCAACTAACAATTTTTAATGATATGAGAAATATTTTTCAATAAATAATTTTGATAATTTATTATTATATCGAATGATAGTTTTTTTTTTTTTTTCACTTAGTATTGTATTAAATTAAAATTTATAACAAACGATAGTTGTAATTTCTAATATTATAGGACCGATTCATATTTTAATAAATTTTTTGAATGTATTTGTAATTTGTTAAAAAATAAAAGATTTATATTTCACAATTGACTAAGAATGTTTGTGTAATTATCAGAAAACTTGTTTTATAATGAGTGGTGCTATTAGCATCCCATGAATTATTTTGGATTCTCCATTTCTTTGGACCCTGACTTAAAAATTTTGAAACCCTCAAAACTTTTTCCCCCCAAATAATACTAAAATTATCCTTGTGAAAACATTCCACAAATTAAATGCACACCCCCTACACCCCCAAAAAAATCCCTCTTCCAAAAAACCCTAACAAAACTCACCAAGAAAAAGAAGAGTCAATGTGATTATTATCTCATCTGCCTCATCCACCATTATCATAGTTGGTATGCGCTCTCTCTCTATATATATACATAATTTTTTAGTTTTCTCGCAATAATTTCTTCTCTTGTAGGAAAAAAATTATAATAATTAGTTTGGTTGGTTTTGTTGGTAGATATTATAAAATTGTGAGTGCAGTAGAGAATTACGCATCAATATTATCAAAGCTATGTGATGAAGGAATAACTTTTGAACCTGATAATGGATTTAGGCTACTTTTGATAACTTCTACGAGTGTTAAAAATTTCGACCATTCAAAGTATTAAGAAATTTCCATGTTCGGACCTATATTCCCAAACATTACTTATTTGTTCGAGAATGCCTTCCAAAACAAATAAGTAATGTTCGGTCCTGTATTCCCGAACTTGAAAAAATAAAAACTTCTACAAACATTAACAATTTTGATCGTCCAATGTGTTAAAAAAATTTCATGTTCGAACCTGCATTACTGAACATTACTTATTTGTTGGCAAATGCCTTTCCGAACAAATAAGTAATGTTCGGGCCTATATTCCCGACCTTGAAAAAATGAAAACTTCTGCAAGTATTAACAATTTTGATTGTTCAATGTATTAAAAAATTTTCATGTTCAGACCTGCATTCCTGAACATTACTTATTTGTTCGGCAACGCCATCCCGAACAAATAAGTAATGTTTGAGCCTGTATTCCGCCAAAGGGTTGCCAATGTTACCGCTAGAATATTGCCATTGCCTGAGAAGTGTAGGTAGTCAAATAGTTGTCACTGTTACCGCTAGAATATTGCCGCCAAAGAGTTTTCAAGGTTTTGAGGGTGGGTAGGTTTTGAAGATGGGATTTAGGAAAGATGGATGGGTGGTGGTGGAGGTGGGTGCTCTCATAAACCCTAATTCATGATGTAGTGTGTGTGTAAGTTTAATTGTGATATGGGATGTTCCAAAATTAATGATGTCTTTTTTAGTAATTTTATTTGAGGTTATTATTGTAATAAAAAAAAGTTAAAAATTGGGAGGTTCAAAATAATTTATGGGGTGCTAATAACAACACTTTTTATATTTGACTAAGAATATTTACGTAATTACGAAAAATTCTGTTGTATAATTAACCAAGAATGTTTGCGTAATTACGAAAAAAAACTTGATGCATAATTGACCAAAAATGTTTGCGTAATTATGAAAAAATCTTCACTCAATCTATAGGCCACCATTAGTAATTATTCAAAATAAAATGATAAAATCAATAAGAAAAGATAAATCTAAAGTAGTTAAGCGATTCTTATATATATATATATATATATATGTATATTTTCATTGTGAGGATCAAATAAATTTACTAATGTCACAGCTGTGAGAAAGTCACTAAAAGTGCACTTTTTGACTTATTGGTTTATATGGGTTGGGTTTGATGTGATGTATTAGAGAGGTGATGTGATTTAAATAAGATGGTATGACTTAAATAGGGTAGTAACTTTTAACTTTTTGTATTATTTAGTGTACCCCAAACCAAGTCTAAGTTTAATGGAAAAGTGTTGGAAAATAGCTGCAGAGAATGCATTCATGACAATTGGCAAATGTAAGTGTAGACATTTATTGGAGTGAAGCTCTATAGAGCTCTATATATAATATATTGGAGTAGAAGATAAAGGAAGAGGAGTGAGAGAAAGAGGAAGTATGGCTTCTAAACCTGGAGTGCTCACTGACTGGCCATGGAAACACCTTGGAAGCTTCAAGGTATTCCTATCCCACCAGTGCATACATATATACCTAGTTATTCTATTCATTTGTTGCAGATAAGATAATGATATGTGTTCTCTCTATTTTTTCCTCTATATATTTTTAGAGGAACGCTTCTTTCCGTTTCAAATTGGATTGGAGGATGTTGTTGAGTCTCATCGGCCCATCACAAAATCCGCATTGATAATCCAACTGTTAAATATATAGGACTCATCTAATACTTTATCCTTATAAAAAAATTACGTTGATCGAATATCGATAGTCACTTGATCAGATCATATTTGCATCAACGGTATGTATAATTTTTAAAATAAATTGTTGATACAAATGTAATTTGATCAAGTGACTATTGATATCTGATCAACATTATTTTTTATAAGAATGAAGTACTCAACGAACCTTACATATTGTACAGTTCGGATCATAGATGAGGGTTTCGTTGTAGGTCCACGGAGGTCCAACAATACTCTCCAATTGAGAAACCTAATTAGAGGGAAGCCTCCCCCATATTTTTATACTATTATATAAAATATATAGTTCTTTGAAGCTATGTTACGATTTTCCCTATCACTACAACTTGTTTTAGGAATTAAACCGTTTTTTGTTTCTAAAAAGTGAACATTTTGTTGGAAAAAATATTTGGAAACTAATTCACGTCTTTATGAGAGTTGTGGTCATTTGAGAAAGTCAAAAAAAATAACTTTCAGTGACAATTTTGAACATGTTTATAATAAATTTATTTGTAGGGACAAAATAATTTGATGTAAAAAAGTTTTATTTTTAAAACAAAAAATTTGTTTCTAAAAAGATAGTACTTCATTACTATATATGCCCAATTTCGTTGATAGAAAAAAGAAAAAGAAAAAGAAGAGACTTTTGACAATTAAACTATTTTAATCTATAAAAGATAGTACTTCATTACTATATATGCCCAATTTCGCTGATAAAAAAAGAAAAAGAAGAGACTTTTGACAATTAAACTATTTTAGTCTATAAAAAGTGATTTTACTATTAAATTTTTGTCTCTAGAATTCTAATTTGTTGTAGTATTCCTTTGAGATCTAACTGCTTCACATACACATATTACATCATGCTTACCCTATGTAGGTACATATAAATATGTTGCATCTGTTACATTTGTATATATGTTAAATATTCTTTTAAGTTAGATTCTCTTTGCTCTCTAAGATTGTATTTGAATTATGAATTTAAGTAAGTATTTAGAATTAGAAAGAGAAAATATAGATAAAATGTGAGTGGAATATAGTTATATTTCACTTATTTTTTTCCTTTTCGTTTTCTAAAATTTCAATGAAATTCATACTCCAAACACAACAAGTGATCATTGTTTGATTGAAAAAAAATGGGAGCTTGAAGTAGTGTGAAAAGTGATAAAAAAATAAAAATTAAAACGTGTAGTAAATTTAAATTAGTGATTCAAATTGTACTTAAAATGAATTTGGTTCACTGATTTTACTTTTTTTTGACTACTTTTCAAATAACGTTTTATTTTTTTAAAAATTTAAAACTCCATAATATTGTTCGAGAAGTAGGATTCTTCATGTTACCAATGAAAAATGTTCCACATCAAGGAAGGGAAGGCACCTATACATGTACTTATTGGAAACAATAATATCATACAAACTAATAAACATTACAATTTTTTTTTTTTTTTTACTTGCAAATAAAATTTTTTATAAGGATTTTTTTTAATTTTTATTTTTTACATACTAACAAGACTTGCAAAAGTAAACCCATGTTTTTTGAAATGAAACCCACTAGAATTAAATTATAAAAATAATTTATTAGCACATCAATTTGTAAAATGGCAAAAATAAATTAAAAAAAAAATTTATATACCATTACTCATATTTAATTTGTTTTGCCAGTGTTTTCATAACATGGAGTTGAAAGTATTGTGGTTCATTCTATATTTTTCCAAAATCCAACCAAGAAAATAATACATACATAATCATAAAAGACTTGGTTTCTAGAATAACCACATAATTAACATTCATCATTGAATGGCAACGGGCCGGGGCGGGGCCGGGGATCACCCTCCCCGTCCCCGATCCCCGATGGTCGAATTTTCCCCGGCCCCGACCCCGATCCCCGACGGGGAACCTATTACTGCCCCCACCCCCGCCCCCAACGGGGATCGGGTTTCCCCGACCCCGAGCATTCCCCGGCTAAAAAAAAAAAAAAAAAAAAAAAAAAAAAAAAAAGTAAAATTCCGAGACAGATCAGATCTGAAACAGATCTAAAAAAAAATATATATATGAAACAGATCTGAAAAAAAAAATAAATTTAGAAAATACAACAACATCATCATCCAAGACAGATGAGATTTGAAACAGATCTAAAAAAAAATATGTGAAACAGATCTGAGATAGATTTGAAACAGATCTAAAACAGATCTGAAAAAAAAAAAAGATCTGATCTGTGAGCGGCGGTGGTGGTCGGCGACGTCGAGAAAGGAGGGAGTGCATGAGAGATGCTGTGTGGTGGCGGTGGATTTGAGAGAGAGAGAGAGAGAGAAGTCAGTGAGCCAGAGGAAGATGAGAGACAGACGGAGACGAGGTAGTGAAGAGAGAGATAAGATCTGAGGTGAAATAAGGTAAAGTCAGTGGTTTATATATAAGGTAAAGTCAGTGGTTTATCAAAAAAACAAAAAAAAGGTAAAGTTAGTGGTTTATATATATATATATATAAAGGTAAAATCGTAATTTAATATCGGGGATAAATCGGGCCGGGGATCGGGGATGGGGTCGGGCCGGGTACGGGATTGGGACGCTGATCCCCATCCCCGGCCTGAATATGTTCGGGGATTGATTTTTAAATACCATCCCCGTCCCGTCGAGGGTATTTTTCGGGAAAAACCCGCTCAATTCGGAGTCGGGGGGTCGGGTCTCCATCAGGTCGATTTCAAATTGCCATCCCTATTCATCAAAGGTGTTTCTCTTCATGCTAGAAGAGCTCACTTAAGCATATCTACAATCAAAAAATTTTAACTGGTTATTTATTTACTTGGTTTTACTTTTTATTTTTTTTATTTTTTTTCATGTGCAAAAAATTTATATATTTCGAACAAAGATGGTGTAATATGACCTTATTTTCATGGAAATGTTATTTGGTGCCTTTAAAATATTATTATAACGCTTTCGAAAGTCATATGATTGTATATGCCCTTTGCATTTAAGAATATCATGTGGCACTTAAGAGAGTTAGGCAATGCCCCGGAAGTCACATGATTGTATACGCCCTTTGCATTTAAGAATGGCTAACAAGATCATGTGGCACTCAAGAGAGTTACGCAATGCCCTAGGCCACCAAATAACTTCTCTTCGTGTACTTACTGAAAAAGAAGAGGAGTTAGTTAACAGTTGGACACAAAAAAAAAAAAAAAAACAAACAAACAAATACATAGGAATTATAAATACATAAAGAGTGCAAGTGATTCATGATTTTGGATGAAGTACAAGTAAAAAGCCATAAACCCTTCATGTTTGTGTATTTTTTTTTTCTTTATGTTACACCGTTAAGTAATTGCTCCTTTAAAAAAGGAAAAGTGCAAAAAAAATAAAAAATAAAAAATAAAATAAATAAAATAAAAAAACTTTTAGGGGTTTGCACTAGGAGTGGCCCCGGTTCGATGTTTGCCCAATTTGATAGTTTTAGGGTATGAGGTGAATATTTAACTCATAAACTAAAAAAAATATAAAAGATAATATGCATATGCTTTATTTTAACACTTAAATTCATATATTTTTTAAAAGGCTCAATTCAAACATTTGCTAAAAGGCTCAATTTATTTAATAATTCATTGATTTTTTTTATTTTTTTACTTTTTTAAAAAAAGCCTTCTTATATTTGGTTAAACGAGTTGGCTTGAGATTTAAAAACAATATGATAATGTCATTTTTATATATTTTTTAAAGTGAATGGTGCACATTGAATCATATTATTATATATGAAAATTTTGTATGAATTTTTTCCTTACTACATTATGGTCATTCTAGAATATATACATTCTTTGTACCATATGAAATTATGATAAATGTCACAATTAAATAATTTTCTGTCATAATTGGAAAAAAAAATATAATGAATCATAACCAAATACCACATAAGGTATAATCAAAGACTTTTGCAATTATAACTAAAATAATAAACACATTAGATTATAACTAATATCAGAATTAATCATAATTAACACTATAATCAATCATAATTAACACTACCCTAGATCATAACAAAAAATCACAAACGTGATAAATAGGTATAAAATTTCCCATATTTATTATTCTGTTTTAATGAGGTAGTGGTGACATATAAAAGGAAAATATTTAAGATTTTCAAAAAGCATCCACATTGATATAATAAGATATGTGCCAATTTTTGATTTGTTACACATTTAATGATGGTAAACTTAATACTCATACCACATTATTATATAGATAAATTTGTAAATATAAATATATGATATCTAGTATTACTCCATAAAAAAATGGTCAATTCTAAATCTCCACGAGTCCCTTACATGTCAACTCATTTCAATTAGAATGAAATATTATTATATGATAATGAAGTAATTTAAGGGACAGAAATTGTGGAGGGTAAGGACAGGGAACGAATAAATTTTTTGAATGTTTTCGAAAAAATATTTTTAAATTAGTGATAATTTCTTAATTATTAGAAAGTAAAATGACATTTTTTTAAATTAATTTTTTTATAAATTTCTCTGACGTGTGATTTTTCTAAAGGAAATCCATTGCTCCACTAACTTGTGTGACTTGGCACACTACCATCGGCTTAGAACCAGAATAGCTCATTTCTTTTGAAAAACACTTTTCCTGAAAATAAATTATATGATGTAAATTTAATTTTAATATAGTGGGGCCATATGTAGTCCACACATTTTATCTTTAAAATACTTTTTCTAAATGCATAATATTGTTATTTTTTTAGTCTTTTATTATTAGATTGTGTGAACTTGCAGTTTTTAATTTGGATTGAACAGTCTAGTCCTGATCTGTTAGACTCACAATAAAGTCTTCACTTTTAATGATTCATTTTGTTTAATTTTTACAATTTTATACGTAAATCATTATTGAAAAAAAATAAAATATAATCAATCTCATTATTAATTTTTTTCTTAAAAAAGCAAAGTAAAAATAAATATAATTTTGAGATTGTATTACAAAAAAAAAAAAAAAACTACTATATGACCATTGTAACAAAATAGGCCTTGGATTTGTAATTTTATTAATTTAAACCGTAATCTTTTAATTTATTTTTAATCGAAACTATTTGTTTAATTTTGTAGTAAAACCATTGGAAATGAAAGTATTTTTAGTCATTACATTAAATGTAGGCGTCCAATTTTTTTTTTAAAATATCAATTTTTATTAAATTTAATGATTAAGATATCATTTTTTCATCAAACTAATGACATAAACTGAACGGCTCGAATATCGTAGGTTACAAACTAGTGATATTCTATTTTTTTGTATAGAAAAAAAAAACTCTTCTATTGTTGTTACTAACTTTCATTATTTTTTTTAAAATTTTTTTTTTTTTTGGTTTTATAATATATAGTACATGGTATTGGCACCGTGGGTGGTTCATAGCATATACTCATACATGATGAAGGATGAGAAAGAGAGGGACTTAGGCAATTTGCTGATATTCCCATTTCTAATGTCAAGAATGCTTCACAACCAAATCTGGATCAGCTTCTCTCGCTACCGAACTGCCAAAGGCACCAACAGGATTGTAGATAAGACCATTGATTTTGAGCAAGTTGACAGAGAAAGCAACTGGTCCGTACTCTCTCTCTCTCTCTCTCTCTCCCTCTCTCTCTCTCTCTAATTATTTTTAGGACAATTACTATTTTAAACTTTTAAAAATAATTTCAGTTTAGTGGTAAAGTTTATGTGCATTAATAATTAAAGCCTTAAGATTTTTCATGAATTTGTAATTGTTTTGTAAAACTATCACTGAGTTGTGATTTTTTCTTATTTTTACACACCATTCACGAGCACATGCATGATCAAATTTGAGTGTTCGGAATGAGAATGTGATTTTGAGTCTTCATCATTCTGTTTGGTTTTAAGATTCACTGCAATATATAAGAGTTTTAGAGATTAAATATTATGGTCTCTAAAAGTGAAAATTTTGTTGCAAAAGATATTTAGGGACCAATTTCTATCTTCATGAGGATAGTCGTTAAAAAGTCATTTTAAAAAGTCAAAAACAAGACTTTTAGTGACAATTTTGAAAATATCACTAATAAATTGACTTTTAGGGACAAAATAATTTAGTCTCAAAATGGTTTATTTTTTGAGACAAAAATTTGGTCCCAAAAGGATAATAATTCATCACTAATATCTAATTTCCGTTGCTAAAAATATAATAACAACATTTTTCGCAATAAAAATATTTAGTCCCTAAAAAATAATTTTGTCTCTAAACTTTGGTCTCTAAAATCTTAATCTTTTGCAGTGATTCAATTTTTTATTTTTAAATTTGGAAAAATTATGAAAAGGGTTTTTAAATTTGTTTGTCGTAACAAAATAAATCTTAAATTTTTAATTTCATCAATTTAACATAATTTATTTATTTTAATTTAGACCATTTCAATTAAAGATAAAAAAATATGAAAAAAATTTAATTAAAGATAAAGAAATCTGAAAAATAAAAAACTAAACCAAACAGAGTGCGTAGTTCTAATATTCGGAATGGTTCTATTTCAATTAGGCTGTTTTTATGAAATTTTGTCTTTAATAAATTAATAAATTCAAAGAGAAAACAACAACAAATAATTAGAAGATTTTTTTATGTTTGGTTTCATTCTTTGAAAATCTTTCTAGATTTTATTTTGAAAAATTAGAAATTATTTAAAATAATAAATATAAAAGATGTATATTTAAAATTTTTTAAATTATTTTTGTCCTACAAAAAAATATAACTATATAAAAATGATAAGTGTTTTTTATTTTTTATTTATTTATTTTCTTACAAAATTAATTTTTAGATTTTAGAGAAAATTTCTAAAAAGCAAACCAAACACAGCTTATGCCCTAGTGTGCGGAGTTTGTGAATTAGATTAATTTTAGGCGAGGTTTACAACACATTAAATTTGAGTGTACAATGGTGTTTGGGAAGTAAAAAAATAGCCTAATTTAGGCTAAAATTCACAAAAAGACAAAATAGGGTAAAATAGCTAATAAGACAAAATATCACATTAAACCCATAATCATTTCATTTTTTCTCTCACAAACATCACATCCAACCATAAAAAAATCCAATCATCTTCCCAAACACAAAAATTTTAGCCTACTAAAATAGCCAAAAACTAAAATAGCCTACTAAAATAACAACTTCCCAAACTAAAATAGTTCGTGTTTTTCACTTTTTGTTTTGTGTTTTTCTTCTTTTATTTTATTTTATTTTTTAATACTGTTTTGTTAAGTTTTCAAGATTTACTTTTGAATTTTTTTTTAAAAAATTTGGAATTAATTTGATAAAAATAAATATTAAAAAAAAGATATTTTAAAAAAATTATTTCAGTACCCAAAAAGAAAAGAATCATGTAACAGAAATTAATTATTATTTTTTTATGATCAAAAACCAAATTTGAAAACTCAACAAAATGAATTAGCAATTACAATGAGTGGTCCTCAAGGGCACACCACACAACACAATATATATATATATATATATATATATGAAAGTTAGATGGAAGCCAGCCTTTTAACAGTAGGAACTTTTGTTACGTTTTTTGGTAGGTGTTACAACATGCATTAATCAATTCTAAAAACAAAAACAAAATCAAATATTAAGACAGGGGTTTAAGTTCTCTATTTGGGTTTAGACATGATATTTTAAAAAAAGGAAACAAGAACAAAAGGTTAATTACATTTTATCCTTTCAATTATTACTGAATATTACGTTATTCTTCTTAACTTTAAAATCATACATTTAGAACCCTCAACTACAAAAAAAAATTGCAAAATGTCCCCCTTTTAAAGGGATGAAAGTGAAACCAAGTACGGTTATAAAGTTGAGAAAATAACATGATATTTAATAATAACTGAGAAAGGTAAAATATATTTACAATAATGCTATCACTACAAAAAAAATTATTTTTTGCAACGGCAAAACGCCGTCGCAAATACTCCCGCACGCCGTCTCAAAAGCTATTTGCGACGGTAATTTTTCTTTTTGCGACGGCAAGTGGGGGTCGCAACAAAGGGGGTTGCAAAAGAGCTTTAGCGACGGCAACTGCCGTCGCCATTGTGTTTGCGACGGAAAATTTTCTTTTTTGTGACGGCAATTTTCTGTCGCCAATAATGAATGAAAATCTGGGTTTTTTTGCGACGGCACAAGTTTTCCGTCGCTAAAATAGGTTTGTGCGACGGCAAAAATCTGGCTTTTGACTATTGTCGACGGCAACCTGAGCCGTCGCTAATGACTATTGGCGACGGCAATTATACCGTCGCTAAAGCCTTGTTTTTCAATAAATTCCATACCTTTTGCGACAGTATGGCTGCCGTCGCAAAAAGCTTGGCACTTTTTTTTTTTTTTTTTGCAACGGGATGTGCTGCCGTCTCAAAAAAAAATTTAAAAAAAACCTTGTTTTACAATTATTAAAAATATAAAAATAACCTGTAATGTTGGCAAATGATATAATAATATAAATACATAAATAAAATAACTAATGTTGGCAAATGATGTAATGTTGGCAAATGAAAAATAACTACAAAAAAATCCAAAAATTACATAATAATATAAATACATACATAAACAAAAGTTGGCAAATGATGAAAATACATAATGTTGGTCACATGATACATACATAATGTTGTTCACAAATTTAAATAACATAAATCAAAATCAAAATCAAAACCAAAAGTTTTCGTCTTGATTCTTTCGTGGGTTACAAAAACAGAAGTTGGTCATAATCTTTACATGCCCACATTCCACACGAAGCAAACTGCTACTCAGGAAATATCTGAAAAAAACAAAATAAAAATAATTAATAACAATATAATGGTGGTAATACCAGAACCTTCAAGAAAATCAGTGGCCCATACTGACATTCCAGAAATACAAACTAAAAGTAAACATTATGAATGTCTTCCATGCTAGTTTTGGAAAACACTAAAGCACAAGATGTTAGAAAAGCAGACTAATTAAGTGCATAAAATTTCTCTGTAATTTCAACAGAGATAATACTGGTCACTGCATTTAAGCTTTCGAATATCCC